TGAAGCCCCACCCTGTACAGTACGCTGTTTGCACGCTTCATGCTGTATACTGTACATCCTACTGTCTGTGTCTGTTGTAGTTTGTCTGTGGTCTGTGACCCACTTGTTATTTCGTGGGATGGTAGCGCGTGGCGGGATGGCGGCAATATCGTTTATTCGTTTCCGCCATGGAGGGAACAGCAAACAGCTGGTCGATTGTACATGCAAATAGGCAAACTCGGTGCCAGCCTGTCTCGGTCACGTTTTTGTCCCAGGAAGTTAGAGTTCCCAGGGTGAGGCTGCTGAGTGCAGGTGTGGGATTTGATCTTTGGTTTTGTTTAGGGCTACTGATGTACTATCTTAAGGAATAAACCAAATTTTCATTCTGTCAAAACAAAACAAAATAAACGGGGTACTTTGTTATTATACCGACCACATCTAAGAATTATAACCTAACCCAACTAAATCTAACCTAACCTAAGGGTGGACTATTTTTAGGTTAGGTTAGGTTAGGAATATCTTGTTATTGTAACTAATTATAATCTTATTTTGAAGTCGATGTATCGAAGTGGTCGGTATAATACCAAAGTACAAAACGGTGCCACCAATCTGACTCTTCTTTCTACCATTGCTTGTCAACAACCCTTAGGAGTATAATTAGAATATTTTATGGGAAAATCACAAAAGTTGACATTTTTATAACCGTATTTTTTACAGCAATTGGGTATTGTGCTGTTTTTTTTTTTTTTTTTTTATATAGGACCATGGTATAGTGAACTTTAATCAGCATTATCATTTTAAAATAATCTGTTTTTTGTGGGTTTTATTTGTTTAGGCTATGTGTTTTACCTAATTTCAAAAAAATGAAAAATACACACATTCATAATTTTGAAAACGCTTTTTTGGGAAGGGGTGGGGGAAATTAACATTTTATTCTATTCAAATTAATATACTTTATCCGGTACTATGTTTTAGAAGGGGAATGTAAAAAACTAATTTAATAATAATTTATCAGTCATTGTACTTAATCAATGAAAGTAAGCAACTGTATATCGACGAGTTTTAAATGTACTGAGGGTTTTGTTTTTTTATCCACTCACATTAGACTATTACGTTTTCAAAAGATTTTCTGGATTGTATAATATTGAAGGCTTTTATCAACACCAAAATCACAGTGATTCTTTGTACTGCGCTTGTGTAGTACATATGGTGGGTTGCCTTGATAATCCGTTCTATTGGATCCATTCTTCAATCAATGTCTCCGGTAAGACCAGAGGCTTAGTTAATTTGCAATTTTGTTTGTTTCTTTACCTCAGTAGTTTGCCGAACATTTAAATAGTCCGGCTTTTCACTCCCAAAACACAAAACAAATATATCGTTGCCAACAGGAACGCCCTTTAACATAACTATTTTAAATATAATTAGACTGTGTGGTCTTTGGGTCTTATTAAAAGTTTAGTGTTCACGACGATTTTAATTACAAAGACAACACAACTTGTAAAACTTGTCGAATCGGAAATAATCAATAACTATAATGCCTAATGAATGGGTTGTCCTAGACAGATGTTTTCAATTAGGATGCAAAGCCTGTAATGAAAGTCTATTTATCGCCTTGGTCGGTCATTTTGCAGAGAAAGTCACGGTGATTTTGCAATCAAGGTCAATTTTATAGATTTCTACGGTGAACCGGCTCCCGACACGAACACTGAAGACTGACTTGTGAACTGTAGAGCATGTATGGTGCATTAAGAAAACGACTGCGACGTTTTTTTATATCTGATTTTGAGGTTAAATACCTCAATAATGGTTGAGAGTTAATCTAGAATTTTTAAAACTGCCAATATTTTAATTGGATTTTTCATTGAGAACTCCCGGTGCAGAAACATACCAACATTTAGGTGTATGACTTCACAACTACACAGTCCAATAAACGCTTGACTGTGTAAGATTTGTCTTGATCAGTCTTTGATCGGTTTAACGAATACAATACTTCATGAATTCTGTAAACAATACTTAACGTGCAGTACATGATATCACTGAACTAAAAATGTTCAACCACTCGACTTCTGTATTGCTAAAACCCCTCATGTAGTTATCCTTTAGCTTAGTCTTTATTACCTAATCGAAAGCTTGATTAGGCCTATGTTCTATTTCATAACGAATTTCTATATACTGTATTTGTGAACAAAAATTGCTCCACGCACCGGTCCTGCATGGCCTATGCGGGATTTTATTCGTATTTCAAACATTTTACGAAAGTTTTTGTAGAATAAAGTAGTTCTCATATGAATTTTTATTTGTTTTAAGTTCATTTTCAAAATAGATATGTTTATCAAATTCGTTCACATTGGAAAAATAACTTTCCTAAGACGTTTTAATGTTTTATTTCAGCTATAAATCGACACAATCCTAAAACCTGTGCCCAGCTATACGTTTATAGAAGTAAACAACTATTGGTTATTCAGTATTTCCTGACTAAACATTTATCTGACAGATCGTTTCACAAAGTATGAAATCACTCTACAGTTGGATATTCGTTGTTCGCCGACTCCACTAACTGTTTCTCCTCATTCATCTACCACGATGACTCAGAAGCAGAGATACGATCCTCGTGGTCGTATCGCGTGTCTCTCACCGTTACAGGGCGAAGTCCTGTCCTCCGGTCACTCCTTCACTCCTTTCACTCCAATCACGTGACCTGTTTTCCTTTTCCCACCATTACAAAACGTTTCCTAGTTCCTCTTTAGTATTCCATCCTCAACCAGTAGTGAAGACTAGGCCCTACAGTGACGATCTTCAGAGTGCTTCATTTATCCAAAGTTACACTTGATGACGAAATTGTCACGTGACCAATTTTCCGTTTTCCTGCCGATTCAATGTCTGGACATTTTCCATTTTCATTTAAGTGTTCTAACCTCTACTTAAGTATTGAAGGATCTTGTCCCAATGGGACGATAATGTTTTTCTCATTTTCACTTCTTGTTTTCCAGCCTCTGTTCCAGTGTGAAGGCTGCAGTTCCGACCTCCGAGTACCTCACTTTTCCAATGTCACGCTTGATGACGTCACAGTCACGTGGCCGATTTTCCGTTTTCCCTCCGCTTCCATCGCTGCACGTTTCCCGGGCTCCCACTTCTGTGTACTTTTATTGCTATGGACCAGCGTGGCTGAGTCGTGACTTCCCAGGATTTACAGTTTCCAGCTGAATTCTTTGGTCGTCTTTGTGTGGACAAAAAGTCGTGATTTGAGTAAGGTCCCATCCTTTATCACCGTCATCAAAAGATTTTGTTGAACTTAGTAGCTCAGTAGTTTTAACGTCAAAACGTAAGATCAACGAGACTCTAGAAGTGGAAATTTTAATGGAAGTTAGAATACATAACAGTGTAGTTATTGTAGGGCATTTTTTCATCCACTCTATTGAGTTGAATAAGTAGTTTGAACTTATCTAAAACATATAGGTACTGTATGTATTGAGGGCAAACGTTTGCTATTGCAAGCTCCTTTATTGGTACATTTTACTGTAGGTTTTACCATTGACTAAGGATAGTAACCCTGTATATTTGGGTCACGTTTTATCTCAATCGTAATTTATTCAATACTGATAATGCAGTCACGCGCAAATTTTTCAAACGCTCTTCAGAACAATAACTTCTTAACTTCCAAAGTTTTTTACCTTGGTATGTATCTTCTATACAAAGTTAAAAGTTATGACATTGATTTTTAAATTGTTAATTTAATCATGACAAGTTGGTCGACTAAGTGGAGGAAATCTTATGAATTTCTAAAAGACTATGCCCTTTTCTTTCCTCCAAAGGTATAACTCTGGGATAATGTAATACTGCATACTTTCGACTGTTTTATTTGTCTGCTTTGTCATTTGCCATCCTCCCAAATAGAAAGAGGGAATTTTAGTTGCATTACATTTATTCATTACTATTGTGCCTCATAATCTAGCCACTATCCAGTATTGATGATAGTATTGAGGAGGAGATTTCTGAAAATGTCCTTAACCTACTGTAGAAGATACTCGATTCTAAACAGTAAAAATACTGATTGTAAAGTAACCTATCAGGGCTACACCTTTGAAAAATAACTCTCCGTAGAAATCAGAAAAAATTAACACAACAGACTTGAGCTTTCTTGTAATTTTGGGACGTTTTCTCTTCATTAAAACGTCTTGCAATCAACATGAAATGGGAGCGGGAACTCTAGTAGAGAATGGGGAATGCTAATAGTGTTGACTTTCAAACCAAAACAACTAGAGTTTGTAAAAGCTGTCCAGTAGTTGTGTGTTGTGTCCGAAACTAATTCTGGCGTATTTCTCTTCATCTGCTGGTCCGGCCACAGAGGTTACAACCAATTTGTTTTCAGTTTGGAGAAAACCCGCGAGAAACCACTTTCTCTTCATTTGCTCGCCGCCTTCGCGATACTGAAATTTGGATCAACGATTACAGTGTTTAGATGTTATCAACGTGTTACAGTCAGTGTTGTAAATAATATGTAGGATTGCTGTTTTGAAAATTGGATAGTACGTGGTAAATTTGTGTTAACTTCATATTTAAGTTGTTTTGTCTCTGAATCACTGAACAAACTATAAAAGTTATAAAATTACCTGAATACTGCTAGAGTGATCCTGTATGATCAATGGATTAAACGTTTCGAGGACAGCTCATCTTCAGATCTTGTACAAGAAGAAAAACTTTTGCTTCGAAAAGGTGGTCAAAAGTTTAAATAAGTTAACATGGACACATACTATATACAAACGGAAACATTTACATGATACAAAAACGAGTAGGCCCACATACAAAATTTTACTACGACCTGTACCTGTGTGCGCACGCGGACGGATATTAGATTACTGGTAACATAGGTACTAAATATAACAATATTACGTTGAACCTTGTGCTTTGACATAAAACCGTATGACTTAATTTTTTAAGTACGACTTTTCATCAACCAGCTATGACTTAAGTATCAGTGAATTTTAACGCGTGAATATTATATTAATTGTTTTTTGTTGCAGATAAATGAATCACCTCCAGTCTTGGCTACGACATCTACCCTACTCTTTGCATTAATAAGTAAGTATTTATTTACTATACAATTTTATTTTTTTTCATGTGGTTTTACACAGCTATGTTTAATAAAATTAAATATTTCATTGATGCAACCTTTTTTATCGAGTCGGTAAAGAACCTTTAAAACTCACATCTTTTATTAATAAAATCAACACTTGACAGAGTATCCTCACGATCACAATTAAATTTAAAGTCTATTGTGGTTGTACAAATTACTGCTAAGTTGTTAATGGCGTAAATAGGCCTACTCACGATTCATTGTGTGCATTGATAACATTTACACTGTAATGATCTCTTTGTCTAATCATTACTTTTAATGACAAGTGACTCAGTTGGCTTTGTTATATTAACAATAACAAGTACTTGTATCGATAGGCTAGTCAATGTAGGTCATGTCCATATATTACACAACTCGAAACTCGACCTGGTTACTTAAGTGATTAGTATTCACATTAGATAGTTTGATACTAGTAGTGTTTAACACAAACAAAAGCTAAAATGTCGTTATCATTACATTGACAAGGGCATGATGATGTGCATTTTAACCTAAATGTGAATGAAAGATAAGTATAGAATTGAGTAATATGCCTTTTGTAGCTTTGTTGCTTTTTGAGATCAGCTGTTTCTTTGTAGTCAGGAAACGGATTTTCCACCCGAAACTCTACCAGATAATAGCTACGGTAACCATCTCAATACATTTTACCACAATTTATACAGCCAACTTTTCCCTTCTACGCTTTATGACATTTTCTGTTTATTTCTTGTAGTTTTATCTATTATCAGCCAATGAGTGATGATAATGACGTAGGCCAGACAACGTTTTCCCATTACGCAAGCACAGACTAAGTACCCTACATGTTTATACACCGTGACGGTACGGCAGAATATGCGGGTATTTTACGTAACTGCAGCTCATGTTGGCAGCACTGACAGCAGCTGATCGAAGTAAACATTGTTGCAGCGATCAGCTGATGAGTGCTTTGACCTCTGATATCTAGTATACGCTAGTGTAGTTGTAGAGATCGGTTTAATGTGTATGGCGATTGACGCTCAGAGCGAAAATTATAGGTGGTTTGGACATTGAATTTAGTCTGAATGTATAATGAATTATAGGTGCGTTGTGTGTAATTAAACGGAATTTGTAATAGTTTAATTTTCTTTTCATCAACAAATCGAATACAATTATAATCAATACAGATGATAAATGCACACACGTTAATTCTGTACAAAATAGTTTACTTGATCTTACCATTGACTCAAGTCAATGATCTTACTCCCGTGGTCTTACAAATTTTTAATCATTGGACATAAAATGGGTGATATAGAATGGAATGCACAATGGACACATGGTAGGCCTATCATGAGAAATCAAATTAAAAATTTTTTCGGAGTAAGGTTATTATCAATCCCGGAACATGTGATCAAAACAACGGAAAATCTAATCACGACCGTTGTTGCGCAGTAAATTTTATTCGGAGATTTGTTTATTGTTCAGAATTATCTTCGACATATCAACTTGACCTTCACACAACGTTATGCTCGAGCGATACTTGAGCATTCTCCGAGTTAAAGGCGCGTTGGCGAGATACAGCACGTTCACTAGAGGATGGTCCTGGTTTGTGTTCTTGCGTCACTTGGATAATTGTTTAGCAGCGAGGGTTTTAAAAGGCATGACCCATATCCCTTGTCAGCTGATAACTGTAGGCTGTCAATCATTTTGCGATTGTTTTGTTTTGTGTGTTTTATTTGGAAGATTAAGTTGGTAATTAATTACTGTCATCATTCAGACAATGAGACTTAATTACACGTTTTCTCAGTTCTAAAAGGTGTTTTTAATTACATAGTATTTTTTGTTTTGTTTATATTTAAGCTGTAACATAGATATGTTTTGAATTTTATACGATTTTAAATTGTGGTTAAAAATGTAAATACCAGCAAAGCTAGTAAAAAACAACACAGCGTCCTGTCCAAGGTTTATGATGCTGTACCATGGCTGTGCCCGTCAAAATACTGTCATGTTTTATTTTGTCGCTGCCTAAGTGCCTAAAGATTTCCTGCCTTTTGAAGGTTGACTGGTTTTATCAACGAATATGCGTCGAAAAATACCGGCTTGTAGCTTAATAGCTCGAGAACCAGTTTTTTTATGGGCGTTGTCAGGTTAGGAATGTTTAATTAGGGAATTTCTGCGTTATTAACGAGTACAGTATGGGCAAATATGTGCAATATGGGCAATTTGTGAGGTAATTATTTGTTTGCTATATATCTAAGATATAAACAAAGATAAAGGTATAAACAAAGATAATCTAGGGAAAATGTCAACCAAACTGTATTAATGTTGATTTGATTTTACCATGGCCTTAAGTATATTTTCAACATCTTGTTTATTTGTTTATTGACGGAAAACTCCATATTACATTTGCATACAAAGATGGCAAAACGTTACATTTTACACTCATCTAAAAAATTCTTGTTTGTTGGCCGTCCTCTGAAACGGAATACATGATTCTTCAAATAGTCAACAAACCAATTGATTCACAATTTCGATTAGTAGGCTACCTCACTAAATTAGCCATCACGAATACTTGAAAAAAAACCCGGTATGGATCATAAACATAAACAAATTACGTTTTTGCCCGGAAAATAAACATTACATAACATTGCTTAAATGGAACTGCAAAAACATTTTAACGCTTTTAGTATAGGATTCGGGGCAACAACATCAGTTTGTTGTTTATGTTTGTAATCCTAATCCATACCGGGGTTTTTTCTAGTATTCGTGTTAGCCGTGTTTATTTCTTTAAACGTAATATCCTTTTAGCAACATTATAGGTTACCAGAAAGTTGAAGGAGTAAAAGAAACAGGTGGTAAAGGAAAGGTTTCTTATAAATGGAACTAATGGAAGTGAAACAATCAATGACGCTTGCCTCTCAAGAGTTGCTTTGTTGCATCGGTGCATTGTTGTGTTGCTCAATCTAATGGTCTAACGTTCCGTTTTTTTGCGCAACCATTATTTTACTCTTCGATCTCTACGGTGTCCTACTATTTGCCACCAGTGTCGTTTGCCACCAGTGTCATTTGCCACCAGTAGGGTCAGTTCCTGGAATTCCAGCCGTGGCCGTCATAACCGTGGTATCCATCCCAGTTATTCTATATATAATACCAATTCTTTTATGTTATCATAATTATTTTCACGTTATCATTATGGGTCTTTTGCAGCCAAAGGCGCAAAAGAGTAGAAACATGTGTAAGAATTATTGAATTTTCTCGTGTTCAAAGTTAGTTTCCGTTAATATTCAACACCACAGTCGATAGCCGAAATCACTCATTCGTGAAAATATACGTGCGATAGGGCCGGCCGCACATGACACGAATGACGTTTTAACAGTCCCGTTTAAAGGGTAGGAAGTTTATCAAACCGTTTAAAGCCCCCTCGGCGTCCCGATTCCGAACCATTTGGGACAGGTGCTGATGGGGGAGGACTACGAGGGTCCGAAGGGGAAACTTGCTTGGGGTGCGAGTTTTGAAAAAGCAGGTGTGGGTGGGGGCAAACACTGCGTAATTTTAAATTGAGGGGTGTGTTGTATGGATCAATGCGGGACATATTCTAGTCTCTGTGGTGGGTCCAAATAGAGAGGCTTATTATTTACGAACCATAAAATTACAGTGAAAATATCTATATTATCACGTTTTTCTGTAATGTACATGTAGACACCATGACAAATGTTAAATAAAAAATTATGATATCGTACTGAAATGATAAGAAATAATCTATATGTAATTACCTAAATGTTACGGTTGTGTTTTGTTGATGTGATATTTTTAAAGCGTGTTGTTTATTGGACATGTTCCATAATGACTTACACAAGCATCATAGCCTGAACATGGCTTGAAGACGTGACGAACCTGTAATTAAATTAAAGTTTTAAGAGCCAACAATAATACGGTATACTGGCTCCATTTATATTGGTATTGCCTATCTAGTTGTGTAACAATTTCTTCCAGTTTTGCTGAAGTATAAGGTATAACATTGAATACAGTATACAGTACTTTGTTGTCCATACGAGGAAAATAGTTTATATATTACTTGATTTGGTACGTTGTAGTTTCTGATAACGTTTAAACAAGAAAATCCTAAAAGTATCTTACATTATGATTAAAACAAGTCGAAATATATTCTTTGTACGTTGTCCTTGAAAATATTCAATATTTACTAACTTAAGACCTCTCAACATCACATCAAACAAGACTTGGATTTCCTGATTCGGATTCACCGACTGCGCAAGAAGATTAAATTTGGGGTAGTACGGTTTAACGAAGCAAGTTTGTCTTCCCCTTCAATTTGACTAGAGGGTGACTTCCCGCTTTCAAGAGGGGATTTAAGCGATTCATATTTCATTTAGCTTCCTTATTAGGGATAAGACTTTCCATTAGCAGTGTCTTTTCCAAGCTTCAAGCTTGTCAAGGGAGAAGGGAAGAAGTATCAAGGGAGAACAAAGTTTGCTGTAAATGAAGGAACTAATTTTGTATCCTTTTGACTGTAAAGATGGTCTGGAAACGTGAAAGAATCAAGTCAATACTTTTTGTTGAATAAAGAATATTAAGTGACCTGTTTTATGCCTAAAGTTTAATGTAGACAGTTTTATTCGCATTTAGTGTTCATGTTAACTATCAAAAATGTTTTTCCTGTAAATCATGTTTGGGTTACTTCATTGCATTCACAGTGAACGCCGTCCTCAGTTACTGTTTACATGGACAGGCCAAACTACTATGTAGGCTAGTATCATTGACTATACAGGGTGAGTTTCTACTGACCGTGTTAACTTCGCCAGTAGGTTCTACTCACTAAAAGGAACAAAAAAGTTCATATAAACCCATGTCCGATTTTCAACCGTTTGGCTGTAATAGGGGATTTTGTGTTTTTCTTATTTTATTAGACTTTGCTCCACAATTTATGTAATAAAAACGTAACCAATTACTTTAGAGAGTTATAGTTAAAATCATT